TAAATATGTGCCAATTAGGGCTGCATAATTTGTCCAAAAAAAAAAAAATCAAATGTCAGCAAATCAGCAAAAGCGAGTGAAAAATAATCTAAATGACATGTGGCTCTCACCATACTCTCACAGTTATTTTTGGAATTCTAAATAAATAACTACGTAATAATAATGTATTATTATTTTTATTTTTTAAGTATTAATTATTTTATTATTTTATGACCCCATTTGTGGGTTTTTGCTATTATTATTATTATTATTATTAACTATTTTATTTGTTATTTTAAAGACCCCATTTAATGACCCTATTTGTGTGTTTTTTTGCTATTATTATTAAATAATAGCAAAAAAAAACAAATTGTGTTTTTTTACTATTAATAATAATAATAATAATAATAATGTACTTATTTTATTTAATAATTGCAACAACAACAAAAAAAACACACACACAAATTGGGGCCATTAAATTCCCCATCTGTGCACTTGTTCCTGTTTTCTACAATTAAAGCACTCACAACATCATTCTTCTTCCCATCGCGTCTGATTGGCTCATTCAGGTCCTCTTGGCTGCGGTAACTGAAGCTCTGGATGGCTTCTGTGACACCGCGCAGCGAGCTAAAGATCTCATCAGAATTCATGTTCTCTGTGTCATACTCCAGCATACTGAAGGGAAAAATAATACAGGGAAAAGAGGGAAAAACAGTGACGTTGGATGGACTGCAAACAACTCACATAAACAAGAAAGCCAAAGCATACAAAATATTTAAAAAATTTGAGTGGACAACTCCAACATGCACCTACGGGTAAATAAGTGGATGCTGCAAACATGGTGAGTCAGTTAATTCCTGTGCAAAACCTATTTCACATGCATTAAAAATTCCTCCACATAGTATTGTTTCTTAGCTTTACATTTGAATCAACTACCATCCACAGGGGGAGGCCTGTATTTGGAATGATGTCAAACCGTGGCCGCTAATATTTGTGCATACAAGCGCCTGTTAGGCTGGGAGTGGGTGGGAATCTAAGCACCCATCCCGCCCCTCCTCATTGTGATAGGCTCATGGGTGAGTTACCTTGGTGAGAGCGCGCAGCGGAAGGCCCTGAGGGAGGGGCCGGCAGGAATAGAGGGGTGAGACGGAGGAGTAGGAGGAGGAGGAGAGGGAGAAGGGTGCTTTAAGAGCCCATCGACACTCCATCCCCATAACCGACTGTGCCCACAGAACGGCCAGAGAGGGAAAGAACAGGGCAGAAGAGGAAGAGAGAGAAAAAAAGAGTGGTCCAGTCCAACTGTTGTGGTTAGCAGCATGGGTTAATAAGTTTAAGAGGACCAGAAACCCCTAAATCATCATCTACAGTGGTGTGAAAAAGTGTTGGCCCCCTTCCTGATTTCTTATTTTTTTGCATGTTTGTCACACTTTAATGTTTCAGATCATCAAACAAAAATCAGGAAGGGGGCCAACACTTTTTCACACCACTGTATGTTGTTCTGCAGGCCTCTTTAAAAGAGTTTTAGACCCTTCATGAGAGGATGACTCTCTAGGTGATATGGTTCCCACCCCAGAAATGCAGAAATTCATTTTTAGGGTTTCAGGTTATAAAGGGACATTTTGAAGAAAACAACACATCAAGTCCCAGTCAGACGTTTAGCACATGTTAGAGTCATAAAACAGGGTGACAGGCTCTTGAAACTGCTGTAGAGGGTCTTCATGCCAAGAGTGAGATCATACATTAGTGTGGTCAGCATATGGGAAGAGGATGTGTTACCTGGGTGACAAACCCCCGTGGGAGCAATTTGTGGGCGAGGTGAGAGGACTAGTCCTGCTGGTGGGGTGCCGGGGTGGCGTGCGTCCCATTGTATTGCTCGGTGAACTCTGTGAAGGAGATAAAGATGAAATCGTAAGCTAAATCAGTTCAGGTTGGGCTATACAACAGATCAGCTACAAAACAATATTACTGGCAGATCGTTTTCACTGTCTTTAAAGATAAAGTAAAATATACTCAGTTTGCTTAAGCAGACTGACATGTCACTTTCTGTCTCAGACAATAGTGTGGATTACTTGATTTACTTGAATGAAGATACAGACTAAATTTTCCAAGATTGTTTGGCAAGACCATGTTAATTATCAACTACTGAATCTGAATGGCATCATAAATTAATTCATAAATTCTTCTTTAGTTCGAATGAAGCTAAAAATCATCCAATTAACATGTTCTAGAGTTTAAAAGGAATAGAAAAAAAACAGGAAATGCCCCTTTCAAAGGGTAATTTTAACTCTTCGAAAGGGACTTTCATTTCACCAGTTGCCATATTGAGCATTTTTCCACTAATGGTCTGTCTCTTACCACCATAATATTGTGTATTTACAACATTTACAACTAAAAAAAAACTAATACTGTACATGCACGCCGTTCAAAAGTTTGGGGTCAGAAAGATTTTTTTTAAAGAAATTAATACTTTTATTCAGTAAAGAAGTAGTGACAGTACAGATATTTATTTAATGTTACAATGCTTTTCTATTAAAACTTCTATTAAAAGTTCTTTGAAATTGCCGTAATATTTCACAATATTACTGTTATTACTGCTTGGTGACCATAAGAGACTTGAAAAAAAAAATTTGAATTTTTTTTTTAAAAACAAACCAAAAAAATCTTTTGAATGGTAGTATATGTTCAATCTTTTAATATAAAATCTCATCAGAGATGAAATGAGATCTTACCACACTGCTGGTGTTGCTTGAGTTCTTCAGATGGCTATGCAGGAGCTTGGTGGCTCCATCCTGGAAAGTTTTAGGCAGAGCACCCAGCAGCATGGTGAACTCAGGAGTGTTCAGCTCAAAGAGTGAGATCAGCACCACCTGGGCAGCCTGCACAACACAGCACACACTTCATGAGATACAGTACAACCACTAACAGCACAATGACCCGGAGCGCATTTATACATTCCGAGAAATGCCGGCGGTGATAACTCAGGATAGAAAGAGAGACTGTATAAAGACTGCAGTGCCACTATGAACAGAAGACCCTGGACCTGTTATGGCACCAACACACTAGAGTTTACACTGTGTCAGACATTCTTTGACATAGGACATTTATGAGAGCAGGTCCAGCTTGAGTTCACAAACAAATTCCTATTTGTCAAAAGCTCCATCAGAGTTTTCTCTATTGTGTAGGTGCCTTCAACATCAGGGATGGGAATCATAAGAGACGATTCGGGTTCCAACTCCTCTTAACATTCTTGTTCTAGTTTCTTAGTCATTACATTAAACATTATTTAGTCAGGAAGAAAGCCTACAGTAGCATGTTGTCAAGTGTGATCATTTCAGATTTCAACAGATCAGCATACCATGAATAAACTGTCATTTAAAATTTTATAAAATTGCAGTATATAATTTTTGATGCATAATTCTGCTCGGATAAACAAAAAGACGACAAACAAAATATCACTGTTATCGTAATGACAACAGCAGTTTAGCACAGGCAAGATTCCCAACCCTGGTTAATTTGACTTGTATATTTTACAGAGTTTGCACAGAGCTCTCAAATGTCATCTCAATTCAGTTCTGTTTAATGTTAAACACATGCAAGAAAATTGATTCACTCATTGTTAATCTGTGAAAAGAAACAAAAATATCTTAAGCAGTGGAGCATTACAGCAATTGAGATACGAAAGGAAACTTTAAAACACACTCAACTATTAACATAGTATTAAAAAAAGATCACTGCCCTCTTTAGACTTCTGGAGAATTGCATGTTAACAGATTGTATTCAGCAGTCACTTCGCAAGGCAATGAGACAGATTAGAGTGAGGAGAGGGCACACAGTTAGGTGCAGCGGTTACGTGCTGGTTGTTGGTTAGGCCGTTGGATTGGCTCTACCTGCTTGCACCTCTCTTCCAGGTGACTCTCTCCAGGAAGTAGAGCTGTAGTGCTGGGCCTGCCTGACAACTCCTCACATGCCCAGTTATGAAGGGTCTGGGCCATCGTGTCAGGGCAAGACGGTAACAGACAATAAAAGAGAAACTGATGACCAATAGTTGCCTTTAGACAGAAACTGATATTGGGAAGAAATGGCCTGCATCTGTTCATTGTGATTAAATGATGTTCAACCTACATTTTTAAAACTAACAACCCAGTGACTGAGACAAAAAAGCTACACTATATACAGTATACAATAACAAAGCCTTTCTGAGGATGATTCTTAAAGGGATAGTTTTCTGTCATCATTTACTCAACCTCATTGTCCAAACCTGCATTATCTCTTTCTTCAATCAAACACAAAAGGGTAATTTTTAAAATCAAATATGGCACCAGTCACAAGACATGTGAGAAACAATGATATTTAATGTTACTGACGTCAAACCCAATGCATCAAGTTTTACAGTCAATAACTTAACTCTATAAAGCCTACTGTATCATTTAGTTTTCTCTAAATTATCAACATGTTCAAATCTTTGCTGAAAAACCAATTGTACACAATCTGCTACATGTCTTTTGTAATCTGACTGGTAGTTCATACTTTTTTAATAGGTAGAAGGCCTTTAAATTTTTACAAATATCCCTCTTCAGGTTGTGTGTCTATTTTGATGTGAAATCTTAACTGAATTCTGAAGTAAACGTATAAAGTACAGATACGATACAACAGATCTAATACGATACAACAAAAAAATCACATATATTGCAAATATAATGCTAATATTTTTATTATTATTTTTTGAATATTTTGCCTAAAGGTCCAATAAACTGTTCAATTAAAAAAAAAACTGGCTATTGCTGTATTTCTTATGTTAGGTTTGCGGGGTTAAATTTGGGTTTGTTTCTTACATAAAGCTATTGTATGGCTTCTGAAAACTTATTTTGCCAGGATATTCAAAATGTAAAAATTAAAGCTATTTGGAATGACACGAGAGTGAATAATAGTAAATGATGACAGAATTCGCACAAAGAAATCTGTCAGAATCAACCTAGAAAAAAAACTTTTTAAATAAACATCTTTTATTTTGAACACCATTACAGCATTGATTTGTGCTCTGTCTGTAAGCACATCTCCATGGAAACTCACTTTTCTAACGTCAGAGCTCTTGGGTTCAGTGGTCCAGGTGATAATGCGAGACACAGCTAATCTTGTTTCACTTGAATTCACAAAGTCTGCAGGGTCCATCTGCCGTGCTAGGGACTCAATGTATTTCAGGATGGACACCTTCACCTGCATTATAACACCAAGATAATAAGAATTAACAGACTCGGCACACTGAATTTGCAGCTGGGGTTTCGTAAGCAATCATGGTAGGCACCATCTTACCTTTAGATTGGGGGTTTGAGTCTGATCAACAATGAATCTCATTAGGATGTTAAACTGTTGGTCGAAGGGGAAAGACTCCCTAAAAAATGGGAAAAAAAGAAACAAGAAATCATCCGGGTGGCACAAAAAGCTCTAAGCATCAAAAAGAACAAAACTAGGACTATCACTTAAGACCAACCTTGTGACATCCAGAGCCTTTTGGACCTTAGCTTGGACTGAGCCTAAGAGGTCAGCTCCCATTTTCTTCAGCAGCTGAGTGAGCAGTACAAAGAGCCAGTCCTGGAGATCCTCTCTGTGCACAGTGATGAAATCCACTAGAGTCTCCAGGAACATGCTAAACACCTGGAAGCAGAACATGAAACATCATGCAAATGCTGTGCTACACATCTTGTTATGAATGTACTAATGGCTTTATATGCCTGTCTCACAAATGTATTAGAAAAATATTTTTCTACATTCTCTGATAAAACTGTGAATGTGCTCGCCCATGCAAAAATTGCTGCAACAATGCCAGGTTTTTTGCCAGTTTATTGTCTGTAAGTCGGTTTATAAATCGGATCACTTATAATAATATAATAAAATAATAACAGGCAGCATTGGTTTGTTATATCAATCATGATGGTGTGGCATGAGTTTCGTGATTCTGTTTAATATTTAGGGTTAGGGGTTTAAAACAAACAGTGTTGGTGGTTTTAATGTGATGTATACGAAGAATGAACCCATTTATGTAAGAATAGAACATAATCCATTTATATAACAAAATGGTTCAGGTATTTGTAATATCCACTTACTCTCTATTGTTAAAATCCACACCAAGGCAGACCATGCAAACAACAGGAAAAAACACATTCCATTAGTGCAATCTCATTCCATTTTCGAGTTCTACACAAACACACTGTTTGCCAGACAAACATTTTAAATTGAACAGAATCCATAGTGATGAAAGCTACTTATTCAGTCTATTATAACATGATTAATTTAGGATGATTAAGTAATTGAAAGTAATTCTTCAATCCTTTATTTGGAATGCTACCATTAATCCAGTCATCGTAAGTAGATTAAGTGTAATCAAAGCAGGCATGTGGAAAGGATGTATCCTCACATAGGTTACCTTGCTGTGAGGATCTGCAAACATCCTGGTGAAGATCTCACACAGCCTCTTGAGCTCCACACGGCTGAAACACACAAATATATGATTAGAGGCCTGTTCACGATCAGAATAAAACAGAAAAAGCATAAAAAGCCAACTGGGACTTTGCACATACATCATTTTAGAACGGCCTATAAAAATACACTACATGAGCAACAAATGAAAACTTGCCAGATACTGACTGACTACTTTCTACTTCCTGTCTTGGAGAAAAATGAAATGCCACCAAACAACCAAGAGACCATTTGTGTTGCTCTAAAGGGACCCCACCTGAGAATGCGCTGACTCTTTAGCAGGTTCTGCAAACCCAGCAGGCCCTCCTTCCTCTCAGACCAGTTGGAACTGGCGCAGTGGTTTAGCACCTCAGCAACGTCCTCTGTCTGACGCAGGTAGTGAGGAATGCCTCCATTACGGGAACTATAGGAACGCTCTGAGCAGGCACTGGATGCGTCGCTGTTGGCATCATCATCAGACTCGTACCTCCTTCTCAAAGGCTTGCGCTGAGGAAAGCATGGAGCACATTAGTAGGTTCAACGGGAAGTTGACAAAACTATCATAAAACCAACAAAGGGAGTTAATTCAACAATTTACATTGCATTACTCAAACATATACTAAGTATGCTGTTGATATGGAAAAGTCATGCAGCATTTAAAAATAACAAGGCTTTAGGTTCATTTAATACCAACTTTGGGACTCTGGCCAAGTACACACTGCAAAGTTTTAAGAGACAATCTTCTAAAATCTTCTAAAATATTGATTTCTGTGCGTACAGAATAATAGAAGGGTCACTCCTAACTTGTGATTGTTGACAAAGTGATCTTAACAATAGTTTGGAGATCGGAGATGTATTCAATTTTAATTTTAAATAAAACATTTTAATTCTGAACACATTTGAATGATTTGGTTGCACTTCCTGGATTTTTCGGCAGTGAATTTGGTTGTAAAATTCCGTTATTATTCCCATAAATAATTAATCTGTAAATGGAATTAAGCAACTTTAGCTCCAGTGTGTATGTGGCCTTGGAGCTCTTCAACTGTCTCAGCACTGGAGTGTGAAGAAACAACTCAGAAATGCTGCTTTGTTAAATGCTGTGGCAGTCATGAATAATTCAAATCGGTCACAGACAATTTCCAGCATTTGGCAATGCATTAACAAACACTCGAGTCCCTGTCATTAGTACAGTGTGTGCATATGACGTTAAGTGAAGAGCGCGGTACGCTGGGTAATTACATCTACTTATGTAGCAAAGGGAATGTGTCACGCTGATGCATAACAGCTGCCCTGTTTACAACTTAATCCTGCTGTGTTGTCATATGTGAATTAATGATGATATACATTTTCCAAAGCAATAACACTGGGTGACATACAGATAATAAAATGAAGAGATTAATGCCAAACTGATAGAAAAATGAATGAAATGCATCTTATGGAGATTGTACAGGAAATGATGGGACTGTGCAGAGGAGATGGTCATTGACCAAATTAATGAAAGCAGCGCAAATGGTTGTGGTGCACAAAATGCTCTTGATATTTGCTTGACAGTCCACGATGGAATAAGTCATTCAGATTAGTGAATAAAAATGGAAATACAAGCAGTATATAAACAGAACCACTACCTTATTCCTGGAGTCTCCTAACAGCTGAAGACAAGAGAGAGAGAGAGGAAGAGCAAAGAGATGCAGAGATTTCAGAGGGAGCAATGTTGTTGCAGAAAAGACACAATCTGAAAACTGCACCCTCATAATATAGCTAGGCAGTTGACACATAAGGACCAAAAAAGGGTTTTCCCCACGTAAAGATCAAATTCTACATGAATGTATAAGGGAAAAATTTTGAGACACTGTGAATGGTCACCATTTTACTTTACCTTTTTTATTTAAAAAGGAAATTAAAAAATATATTATTATTAACACTGTTTTTCACTAAATAAACAAGGAAAACACAAGGAAAATTTATATTTAATCATTTTCATTCATATGCACCATTATAATAATACAATAAACTGACAATGATGATTTTACATTAAATATTTAAATAAATATCTTAATTTCATATTTAATCTAAATATTTGTTTAATTCATTAATGTATTAATTGATGTAATACATTTTTCCATTATGCATTTTAATATTAATTCAAGTTTAATATTTTAATTTTAATTAAAACATGAATAATATAATAATTTTACAATTACATATATTATTATAATTTTTTTAAACAGAGTACATCAACTGCCAGAGAACTGCAAACTGCTGGAGAACCATGAAAATCCTTCCTAACATGTCTATACACAGTATACCCCATAATGAACACTTCTCATTTCCTAAAACATTATTTTTCTGTGGGTGTTTTTAGGGCCACACAAGACAAATAGTTGAGCCATACAGAAGCATCACTTCTGTTATCCTAGATCAGATAATGACAGTGAGGAATATTTCAGTTTATCATATTCATGTCTATGAGATTCTTACCAAAGCATCAGCCACAGCAGCCTCCACTTCTGTGCCAGTGTTCAGCACCCTCATAGCATTGACAGATGCAGAAATGCGAGCCTGATGGATCAGGCCAAAGCGATCTGTAGGGTTTGAACACAGGATGAGACAGTGAGAATGGACAATGATGATACTTACCTTCTACGACATCATTTCAAAGTCAGGTCATAAACATTTTTTCAACCAATTAGGCTAATTTCTCAAGAGAGACAAAAAAACGAAAGGGTTAACATGTAGACATTGAGAGAATCAAGACAGTCTGATACAGCCCAACACATAAAATGAGACAAGTTCAGAAAGTACAGAAAAATAATTATGGTTGCTTAAAAACTTGAAGGTGAAAGTGTGTAATTTCAGAATTTCAAACACCCATCCACCATTAGTTTGCCAATCAGATAGGCCTGTCCCAAACTGATGCTATTAGTTGAGCAAATGTTAACATGTTTGCCCCATTCATTCCATTTCAACAAAATAACTGAAATTCTGTTTAGTGGCACTAGAAATGACACATTTCACCTTTAAAGCCACAATGATCAAAAGTAAGATGATAAAAAATAAATAAATAAATAAAAATAAACCATACAGCTTCAATAAAGTAGCTTCTTGGAAAATCAAGTGCCAAATGTGTGTGAATTATGGGTCCCACAAAACAAAGGATTAAATTCAAACATTCCAAACAAATTAACTGAACTACTTTGATGCTCACAGCACAAAAAGCCAAAAAAAAAAAATCCTTTTACATTCATTATCAGCAACAACACCAATGCAAAGTTTTTTTTTTTTTTTTAATAAATGGATATGGCAAGAATACAAAACCTTACATATGAAGCAGGCAACTGAAGTGATTTTTCGCAAACACACCACCAACTGAACGGAAACGGAAATGCAAATCAAAACAACCTCAACTAGGAGGGATGCTGATGTTTATGGTGAGAAAAGAGAGCAAAGACGCTGGTAATATAGTTTCACAAATGAACAGTTAATTCGCATCTACATCTAACAATGACGTGAAGTGTGCAGGTTGTAGCTTGACCTGGCAAACCCAGTCGAATTCGCCTTTCAAAAAAAAAAAGGTTAAAATATGAAGGCATGTGACACCCCAGGGATGGTTAGTGCCACACTAAAACACTGAGCACCATCCGTGGCAGTAACACAAAACATTCAACATGCCATACTTAACTAGTCACTACACGAGTGTTTCACATTAGTGTGAAACAGACCATAGACTTATCCATCTCCCTGCTATAACATAGACGACATTCACATATGCTGGTAGCAGATTAGCAATGAATACGCAATGCAGTGTGCTCTGCATTGCAATCAGTGTTATTTTAGCATTATTAGCATTTATTAATATTAGAATGAGCTTTTATTTTATTATCCAAATTTTTAATTTGAATTTTTTTGTTTAATTTTTATTTTATTTTATATTTCTATTTAGCTTTAATTTATTTTTAGAGTAATTAAAAATTTCAGTAATTCAACAAACTTATTTTAATTCAGTTAGTTGTGAAGGCAACATTTCTAATTCTGTTTTTCATCTGATATGTAATTTTCACATTTATTTCAATTAACACTAACTATTTTTAATATTTTAAGTTAACAATAACAACACTGATTGCAATACTTTGCTGTTATTGTTCCTCCCTGCAAATTATTTTAAAGATCAGACCAGCTGTTTTTATTCACAATTTAATACGAAATGCCATAAATCCATTTTTATGGAAAAACAAACAAAACCTCCACTAGATTTATTTACAACCTGAAAGACATAGCGGCACAAATTAATAAAGCACCTCAAGAATATATTAGTGCACGCATAGAGGCAAGCAAACAACAGTTCATATCCCACGTATTAGGAATAATGGCCATAAATTAAGGCCAAACAGAATCAGAGGGAGAAGTTTTGTGATAGCGAATTGGAAAGGATTGGTTGTTTTTGTTGTTTGGACTCCATCAGCCACTTTTGTGCTTTACTCACCAAGAGGAGTGAAGCCCCGAGCGGGGCTTGTGTCACGGCTGTTCTCGCAACTGGTGTCACGGCTGCACCCCTGACTCATGCTGGGACGGGGGATGCGACTGCTCCGGGCTAGCGTGCGATAGGAAGAAGTGGCAGGAAGAAGAGCTTTACCACACAGCCTGGCTGTTAGAGAATTAGACCGACAACATTTAGGAAGTTTCTGAACATGCAGTGTTAAAGGTGCACCAAATAATTTTGCATATCGTTCGTTTTTATTTGTTTTCTCAAACAGATTATACGACCAAAGCCTTACACTTTATACTGACACCTATAAATTATATTAAAATGATTACACTGTGACACTGAAGACTGAAGTAATGGCTGCTGAAAATTCAGCTTTGCTAATACAGGAATAAAATACATTTGAAAATATATTCAAATAGAAAACAATTTTTTTTTTTTAAACACAAATGGTCTCCAAAATGTTTTTAATATTTCACAATATTATTAGATTTTTTATCAATTAAATGCAGCCTTGGTGAGCATAAGACACTTTCAAAAACATTAAAAAAATCTTACCAACCCTAAACTTTTGAATGGTAATGTATTATCAGTAAAAATAAGAGTCATTCTATTTTGACAATAAATCAGTTTTCTTGCTGCTATAAATTCACATTTGGAGTTTGTATATAAATTGTAGCAGTCCATTATGCATCATGTCATGTAAAAGAGGAATGATTATAAATGCATGAATCAAGCTCTCATGAATCAACACTGACCATTTCTGACACAGTTTTCCAAAAAATGATATTCCTGCATGCAGTCTCTGACAGGTGATAGGTGAGCTGCGATGTCTTCATTTCGATTAGTAGTTGTTGTATCGCATCACTGTTCTTTTGCATTAAATTACAATTTTATGCTATGTGACTAAAAAAATACTGATAACGGCCACCGCCACTCATTACTTCCCGGCACTTTGTCACTGCTAATAGTTGTCAGTGTGAACACCACTTCAAAAAAACTTGGACTGGAATTTTCATCTCAACATGTATAAAAATGAAGCACTATTAACTTTTTGGTGTAAAAACTTTTGCTTGGTGCCCCTTTAAATAAAAACACACACAAATGACTGGATTAAGCTTTAAAGCATTAATATAAAATTGTGAGTCATTTCGAAAATTAAATATAATCAGTTTTGTATATCCAAATGGTTTTGTGCTTCTTGTTTTACCGACAACTTATTGTCAAATGAATAATTGTTATATAATTGGCTGGTCATTTATTGGTCAGATCTTTAAAAAGGCAGGACATACAGAAACTTTTTTCAGAAAAGGCTGACACACACAATGACCTCAAAAAACAGCCAGAAAAGCTGATGAAGAACGAAAGCCGTTAGTCAGCCCTGTCATCATTCAACAATGTATCAATCACATTCAAAACACAGCAATGAGAAGTCACTGAGTCAGTTTTGGCATAAACACTTGCGTCAGCCATTTAAATGAATGCTGAGCTTCTTTCACACAGTGAAAAGACATTCCGTCTATCTGCAGTAGATGAATCTAATAGGATTTGCAGTGAACTGATTCAGAAAATGAAAGTTAAGAGTCTTCTTTCTTTCACTAGTAAAGCTCTGAAAACTCCTGCCATCCATGGTTACCATGAGTTCCTACCTTTTCCAACAAAATGTAGCAAATAATCTCCATGTTGTAATGCATATTCTTAAGGGATTCCTCAAGAAACTGGTTTAGGTCCACTTGAGTTTCGCAATAAATTTATTTTATGTATGCCGATGATATGTCTACTGTATGTGGCCATCCTTCGTGTTAAACTGTGAGATGTATAAATGTGTTGCCCGTACCTATGCCCAATCTGCTGGGGCTGGTTTCACGGCTGCATCCCTGGCTTCTTGGGATCCTCGAGTATTTGTCTGAGGGTGTTGCTGGTGCAGTGGCCCTTGGAATTCTGCCATATGCGTGTCCCAAGAGCTTCCCTGGAGAACTGGACCGGCTGCCGGCTGCAAAGGGAAATAATATCAGCACTACTATAAGTAACATGGTGACTGATTATTTAGCAACTACCATTGGGTCCCCTCAGTTTAGTATCAAATTGTCATTAAAAATAAATGAAATAAGGCACCTTTTTTATAAGACACCTATTATTTTGATTACATTATTTGATGAATTAATGTTACCATGATTGTTAGAAAATGTACACTATCATTCAAAATTTGGGTTGAGTAAGATTTTTTTTTTTTTTTTTTTTTAATAAAGTGAATATTGAATCAGCAAGGATGGATTAAATTGATCAAAAGTAAGAAAAAAAAACATATAATGTTACAAATTGTTTTGATTTTAACTAAAAGCTGTTCTTTTGAACTTTCTATTCATCAAAGAGACCTGAAATTGTTTTATCTATTATGAAGGATCACGTGACCCTGAAGAATGGAGGAATAGCTGCTGAAAATTCAGTATTATATTAAATAATATTTGCTCAACAATGGTGGGAAAACTAAAACTGCGCATTTATTTCAGTGTGGTCTATAAGCTTTCCTTTTTTCACATGGCCCGAATGACAAGAAAAATCTCAGGTTTAGGTGAACGAAACCACCACAAAGAAAAATGAGATGTGTATGCAAATATATGAAGACGAGACCTCAGCTCTGAAGAAATACATACAAACACAGAAAAAGACAAACTGGGTGAGCTTGGATCCAAGGTCTATTCGAGGTGCAGGGAAAACAGTAATATCTACAGGCATGGTGATGTGACAATACAAGCTACAGACACATTTAAAAACACATACAGACAGACATCAAAGCAAAAACAAATACTCAACTATCATAATGTCTGATCTCTATTTGAACAGAAATAAAAAGATCAAGCTAAAGCAGGACATGCAACATGATGGTAGACGAGTCATTCATGCAGGGTTCATATTGAGGGTATTAACGCAGCTTTATTCTGATGAACGGGGGGGCTTACCACTAGTGGGGTTAGCTGATCTGGATCCTTGTGTATGGAAGCGAGGCAATGGACAGGTGAAAAGTAGCCAGTTACAAAAGACGCTTGATGTGACGCATGGTTACCCAGGATGCATCAGGCAAGATGTTGTTTATTCGTGCTCTAGAAACTTAAATCTACACATTTAATTCCAAAGATTGGCTTTAACTATAATTGTGGAATAAACTCCATGTTCAGCAGGATGCCAAACTGGGTTGTGAAAACATTAAATACAAAGACGACAGAGACAAAAAAGAAGATGATAGTGGTGGCAGACCAATAGTTATCTATCTGTATCTGAACTCCTAACATTAAGGTTGAAGCTTCAATCTATAGGGACCCTAGGAAGGTGAATTTCATGAAAGCATGTCTAGTTACCATTTCACCCCCCCTCAAAAAAGAATAATATAAATATATTTAAAAAAGATAGCTTAATTGTTATTATTATAATGCCACAATCAAAATTGTCAAAATTTTATTGTCAAAACAAAGAAATTGTGGAGTGATATGAGACATGAAATTTTCATAGCTGTATATAGCAGCTTAAAAATACAGTTTAGTGGCCATTATATGTAAATATATGTGCCAGCTGAATGTTGAGACAGCAGAATGAATGATCAGAATAAAGTATTTCAGAGAGCCATGTAATAGTGTTTGTTAATTTTATTAACAAACATTAACACTGCAACATATACACAATATAACACTAAAGCTTTTAGTACTAAAGCCATGGTAGATTATAAACAATACCATGCTATGGTTCTTAAAAAAAATCCATTCACACAGACAGATGTCCACACAGACACTTACGTTGGGACTGAGAGACCACTTTAGCTCTGCTTCGACCACGGCTGTCTGTAACAGTGCTGTTGGCGCTGACCGCACTCCCTGAGCTCTGCCTTCTCGTCCGCACACGACCTGTAGGTAAAAAAAAACAGATCGTGAGATGAGGTGACAAAATGCCTGAGAGGAAGGGAGAGATTTAGAGTGACTGACACAAAAATAGACAGACTGAGGTTTTAACAACAAGGGATGAGGACAAACAAAGAGATTTCCCTGATGAAAACAATCAAAATATACTGACTGAAAGGAATTACATGGCATGCTCTACTGAGAAGACTGGTGTTCAAATAAACACAACACAGAATATTATTAGCTCTTGAGCAAACATATTTATCAAATCATACACTACCATTCAAAAGTTTGGGGGTCAATAAAATTGTCTTTTTGGAAAATGTATACTTTTGTCATCATGGATGCATTAAATTGACCAAAAGTGACAGTAAAGACATTTATAACATTGCAAAAGATTTCAATTTCAAATAAATGCTGTTGTTTTGAAATTTCTATTAATCAAGACACCTAAAAAAATGTATCATGGTTTCCACAAAAATATTAAGCAACACAACAGTTTTAAAAATTGATAAAAAATAAGAAATGTTTCTTGAGAACCAGATTAACATATTAGATTTATTTCTGAGGGATCAGGTGACACTGAAAACTAGAGTAATGGCTGCAATGAAAACAGTTATTTTAAAATGCAAGAATATTTCACAATCTTTCTATTTGTACTGTATTTTTTTAAATAAATGAAGCATAAGAGAAATTCTGCAAAAAGATATTAAAAAATCTTACGAACCCCAAACTTTTGAACGGTAGTGTAGTTACTGAGATCTTGTAAACCAAAACAATACATTTATTTTTTTGACACAAATTTCCTGTATGAAACTGATTCCTGTATGGACCAGCGATTTTGTATGTTCTCTATGCTAATCTCAGAAGAAAGCATAAACTAAACCAATACCACCCCTGTATACATGGTTCCCACACTTTTGGCCAATTAATTTTAACGACTGTTTTCAAGGCATACAAGTACCAATGACACATAACAGATAATAGGAAGTACAAGGGACCATTTTCATCTCACTGAACTACTGTTGTTATTTATTGTCAAGAAGAGGGGGGGATATATCATGCAAACAGGTCATGCAGACCACTAGCATAGTCAGATCGCCAGGTGTACAGTTGATTATCGAGAAATGGGACAAAAATCACTGCTCGAATCCCTCCGACAGCACAGAGCGTGGACATTCACACTCACACACACACACATACACATACATCTTACCATCTATTTTACCAAGTGCACCGTCTTTGGGGCAAAAACACAAAAATAAAAGCAGGGGAATGCAGGGTGGAGGAGAGGAGAGGCATAAGAGGCAGAGGTTAGAGTCAGTTAAGCCCATGGAAGCGTGGAAGACAGGGATCTGCTCAGAAACAGGCTTTGCACAGAAGCACGTGGGAGCTAGTGAGTGTGACTGTGGGTAAGGAAATAAAATCTCTTTGATCATTCATAAGGAATCATGGGATTAGAAAACAGTACAGAGAAAAGACTATAAAGACAAAAGTAACAAAGAAAGTTAGTGGTCAAACGTTAAGTGGTGAGTTCTTGGACGAATACGGAACATTTCTCACGAGGACCAATTCATTATAAAGCTCCAACCTTCTCTTCTGCCCTCTGCTGAAAAACTAATATTGAGAAAACCAAAAGATAATTGAAGTGATAAGCCACAAAAGAATGTTACACAGTGATTTTACACTGTAGTGCAAAAGGTGAGGCTTCCTGCTTTAATAAGATGATAAAAAGAGCAATATGATAAATGAAAATGTAGCTCAATAAAAAAAGAAAAGAAAAAGAAATAAGCAATACTTAGCCAAGAAATTACAAAAGACATGTTGAATAATTAATTTTATTATTATTAATAATACTACTATTCCAGGAAGTAATATCTAAGTTACTCCAAACACAGTCTTATCCGATCAGAATTTAAAGTCATAACAATCCGTTTTATAAAAATATTATTCTCGCTTTTAAAATAACTAGACTAAACTTTCATTAAAAAAAAAAAAAAAACCCTTACGGGATGATAAATCTGTGGCACACACTCGTCGTTTGTTCCTCATCACAGAGCAGCTTAATAGCATCTATGGTGCCCATCAGTTTTATTAATGGGCCGCTGCAGCCATAAAAGCCACTGATTTTTATGGCTATTTTATTAAAATTCCTAATTAAGGATGAAAGAGGAGAAAAGATGGATAGAGTGTGATGGGGTCTCACCCAGGGAGGCGTAGGAGCCTGGAGGCAGAGCTGCAGCAGAGCTGAAGGGAGATGGGGAGGTTGCAGTGGACATGCGAGATTTGGCACTGGAGGCGGCATTCACGTCTATGTCGCTGCGGGAACGCTGGAGGGCACCAGGGGTTGAGGACACCCTAGAGCCGATCACTTTACCTGAGAAAACGTTACACAGACAAAAGTTACAGACATGGCAAAATGGCATGCTTGTATACATGTATACATCAGTGCTAAGCATCCGTAAAAAAGTGTTGCTTCACTTACTTCTTGTAACAGGGCCTCCAATGACACTCTTCACTGACAGCGGTCGACTGCAAGAATGTAATTAAAAAGATTTTAGCAACAGCAGTACAATAAGAATAGAGTGAATAAAATGGCAATGAAATTAATCAGTAATTTTTATTTAGGAAGCAAATGTTTATATTGTGTGAATAGTGTTTGCTGCTTTTGATAGCAGATTGTGATCATTAGAGCTGTCACTCATCACACTGATGCTAACGCAAGATGATCTCACAGAACACCAAGGAGACAATGTAACAGATGCTGCAGTCTAATATTGAAGATGAGATAACTGCTTCATGCTCAGCATGCTAGGAAGCACAATCAACAATCTGTCATCAGCCAGCTGGCAAATATTTCAGCAGCTTCAACAGGGACAGCCATAACTCACAGTTTTTGATAGCATGGGATAGCAACCACCACAGAGCCAGCAGTATTATTTAAAATCACCGAACTACATAGTTATACATTACCATTCAAAAGTTTGGGTTCAGTAAGACCAGAAGAGTCAGAAAGACTCTTTTGCTGACCAAGGCTGAATTTATTTAATCTAAAATGCATTAAAAGACTTTATAAAATACATATAAAAGACCAGTTATATTGTCAAATACCATTAAAATGTAAAAATAACTGTTTTCTATTTTAATATATTTGAAAATGTACTTTATTCTTGTGAGGGCAAAGCTGAATTTTCAGCAGCCATTACTCCATTCTTCAATGTCACATGGTCCTTCAGAAATCATTCTAATATGCTGATTTGATGTTTAAAAAACATTATCAATTTTGAAAACAGCTGTGCTACTAAATATTTTTGTGGAAAATGTGATACATTTTTTCAGGATTATTTGATGAATAGAAAGTTCAAAAGAACTGCATTTATTTAAAATAGAAATATATATATAAAAAAAAAACTACCCAAACTATTGAACAGTAGTGTAAAGTATATATAGCTATATGTGAAAATATAGTCAAAACAGCAACGCAGATACAATGTTTGCTTTTGTATTAACTATTTTGTAAAGATGTACCAATTCATGTATGGTGGTAGTGAAATGTGTGCATGTCTCACTTGAGGCTCTCCTGTGAGCTTGAGGAGGAGCGGTCAGACTGCGGTAGAGACACTATGCTGTCAGAACTCTTGAGGTGAGATTGAATGGCTTTCTGATAGGTCGACTCCAACGCCTGAAACAGGTGCTCTGCCTCTCGACTGTAATGGCCATGGAATCCCCAGTAACACCTACAAAACAAATGAACATCCTCTTAAAAAACAAAACACGGAAATTATGAAGACTAATACAAACGTTAAATGCATTATCAAATCAAATAATACATAAATTAACATTTCAAAGTACTGGTTATGCAACATCTAACCAAACAAAACAAAAAGGCAAACTGACTTACTTTCTGGCCACAGATCTGGCCTCTGAGTCAGCATCATGGATCCCCTTCTTGATGGTCTCAGTGAGAACCGCCACATGCCTGGGGTAGTAGGGAAACATGATGAATACTTCTGTTTCTTACAGTCTGCAGAACCAACAGTGAATTCACTCTGTCTCCTTTGAAACTTTCTGGACCAGACACCAGACCTTTTTCCCAGTTCTCCAAAGGCGGCACAGTGGGAAAGAGAGGATAAGGGGAGTCCAGACCTCCTTATAAAAGAGCTCTTGGCTATATTGCCATGGAAACGGCTGGGATGCATGGTTGCCACACATCCCTGGCTCATCAATTCAACCCGCGAAAAGAATCATCAGTTGCCCGTTCAGCCAAGCTTTGATAAGTAACACATTTTCACCAGTTAAATGTCACAAAAACAGGAAAGGGAGGGTGTGATAGTTTGTCCGCAGAAGGAATAAACACAAACTATGCACATACTAAATTCTATGAGATGCATCCTGAGCAAAAAGCACTTCACAACAACTAATAACTTCATTCTCAATACAACATCAATCATTTTCCACTCACCTCTCTAGAGTGTGTGTCTGCCATTCTTGCAATAACAGGTCTAAAAACTCATAACACCGTCTGATGGGGTGAAAGTGAAAAAGTATTTGTATTAGAAGACAATGCTTTTCTAATTTATGCTCTGCAACTCATAACACCGTCTGATGGGGAGAAAGTGAAAAAGTATTTGTATTAGAAGACAATGCTTTTCTAATTTATGCTCTGCAAAAAAAAAAAGATTTGCAAACAGTTTTCTCAGGAAGCTATAGTTTACCTTCGAACAGCCACAGATTTAGAAGTGCAGTTGCTGGTGATGATCGGGATAAGGCGTGGGAAGTGTGTTTGCTGAGAAAGACAAAAAAAATTACAAATCTTGGTGCTAGAATATTAAACAAAGAAATAAAATATAGAATAGCATATATATCTGTGTTCAAAAGTTTGGGGTTGGTAAGATTGTGTTTTTCTCTTATGCTCACCAAAGCTGCATTTATTTGATCCAAAATACACTAAAAACAGTATTATTGTGAAGTATTATTACAATTTATAAAAACTGTTTTCTATTTGAATGTATTATAAAATGTAATTTATTTCTGCGATGGCAAAGCTGACTTTTCTCCAGTCTTCAGTGCAACATTCAGAAATCATTCTAATATCCTGATTTGGTGTTAAGTAACATCTCTTCAAATTATTATTATTATCAATGTTGAAAACAGCTGTGCTGCATTTTTGTGTAAACCAAGATACTTTTTTTTTCAGTTTTTTTGTGATGAGTAGAACTTTCAAAAGAGCAGAATTTATTTGAAATGGGAAAACTTTTGTAACATTATAAATGTCTTTACTGACACATTTGATAAAAATATCACAAAAACGCAATGCTAAAGCCTCTGAAAGGGTCATTAAATACATAGTGAGGAAAATGTCCTACCTAGCCCTTTAAGGCTTTATAGCTCTAATTTAGTGTCTGTTCCAAAAGGTTCCTATTTTTTGGCCAAATACTAAGGAAGCTTTCAATGAACTATTTATATATATATATATATTTTTTTTTATATTTTTTTTGCTTATTGATGTATTGTGTTGTTTTCTGAGCAACATGCCAATATCAAAACTGAGTTACTTCATATAAGCTACTGTAGACAGTAGACAGCGAGGCAGTTTTTGGAACAGAGTTATTGTCACTCTTTTTTATTTATGTATTTATTTATTTTTTATAGAGGCTACTTAACGCACTAATACATGTGAAAAGAAGAGAAAAAAGTAAAATGTAGAGCATTTTTTTTAAATTGTCTTTTCATCAGAACTCACTCGCAAGATGAGTCGGATGGCTGCCACTCCGGATGTGGCTATAACTTTGGCGCTGTTGGGCACCAAGTTGAGTAGCGTAGGCATGATGCTTTCAGCCCCGTGATCAAATTTATTCCCCAGCACTGAAGACAGATGCCTGAGAGACAGCAAAACCCACCAATCAACAAAACATGAATACAAGTATACGTTAACTTTGGGTCTAGATGGAAATGAATCAAATTTGTGTGACATTAAGGCATGGGACTTGTTTAGATATCCATCAAGTGGCTGCACTTTAGCAGAAGAGCTGTCCTGTACGCTCCAGTCAGCTCGGTTCCACTTCATTAGAAACACATTAAGACCCAGAATAATTAAAGACCCATTCTGAGCCATGCTCAATCACGGAGACCCGCACAACAGCTTCATTTGCCCCTTTAAACAGCACTTTTTAAAGCTGTATCCCAATGATATTTGAGAGAAAACATGAAGCAGAATATGATGAAATACCTATAAGACCTGGATTTGTGAAAAATTGGCCTGCTGCTGAAGTGTGACTTTGATCAATGAACATCAAACGGTGGCATCCCACTAGCTGACTCCAAACAAGTCGATTTTGGTAGTCGATGTCACACTTTTAACACTATATTAAATAAACATCCTAACAGAGACTGAAAGAAAAATGGTAGGAAAGAATGGCTTCATACCCTAATGTGATACAGGCTTCTCGAACCACTTGGGACCGAAGATCTTTAGCCGACAACTTGAAGGCACCTTCTAAAAGCCGGAGATGTTGAAGGAAACCCTCGTGTTCGGTTGCACCAGCCAGAAGCAGCGACCGCACTTTCTTCAGCTAAATACATGATATAAGAGTTCCTTTAGTGCCTCGCTGAAGACACATTCTTCAAGTTGGAGTGCGCACAATGTCGACAAAAGTATCAGTGAAACTGATCAGGAATAACTTACAGCAGTGACACGGTGTTCCCAGTCTTGCTTGTCATCTGACAGAATTTCACGGATCTTATTCATGGAGTCCTCCAACTCCTTACTGGAATATATCTGAAAATGAACAGCATATTTATTTCTTGCATCATGTGTTTAAATGCAAGTAGTCCATGATATATAGCATGATCTTTTCAATTAAAGATGCATTACCTGCACTGCAGGTACATCTTCAAAAGTCTTGATAAAATCCTCTACATCCACAGCTCCTGCACTGACACTGTCCTTCCCTGAGGAATTACAATCACAAAATTTCAAAAAAGATTTAGTAGTCAGTGCCAATACTGGTGAAAATGTACAATTCTCAATTTTGATACTAAATAATGTTTTTAACAAATCTATTGTAAAATTTAAGACCATTTAATTTAAATAATAATAGATTAATATTAGCACTTATTATTATAAATATTAACTAAGCAAATCAAACAATGGCATGTAGTCTTTCAGTATTTCTCAATTAAGTAAATATTGCTTGAAGCTTTTTATGTAATTATGTATAAAAAATAAGGCTGGATTTATCGCAAAATACTATTACAATTTAAAATTACTATTTCATATATTTTAAAATGTATTTTATTCCAGTGATGGCAAAGCGGAATTTGCAGCAGCCTTTACTTCAGTCTTAAGTGTCACATGATCATTCAGAAATCATTCTAATATGCTGATTTGGTGCTCAAGAAACAGTTCTTATTATTAATGTTTTTTTAGGACTGTTTAATGAATAAAAAGTTCCAAATAACAGATTTATTTGAAATATAAATATTTTGTAACATCATAAATGTCATTGTCATTTTGATCAATTTAATGCATCCTTGCTGATTAAGTATTAATTTAAAGTATTCAATTATTTAGAAAAAAAAACAACTTACTATCATATGTGTGTGTGTGTGTGTGTGTGTGTGTGTCTGCTATTTAAATCTGCAATATGCCTCTTTCCCAAGCAAAAAAATCCGTATTAATCTCAATGTCTCTTTTGCTTTTTTTTAAGCTACAAGCTTTTCAATAGATAATCTCTCTGTGAACAATTACATTTCTCCTTGTCAACATGTTTATGTGCAGTGTTTATGAATGTCTATAGTGTGGTCTCAGTGGTCTTCTGGGGCTGAGCTGTAGCAGCTGTGGTCTTACCTGGAGCCCTGGATGCAGAGGCAGAACTGGGTCTTCTCATTGAGCCCATGCTGCCCCCTCTCCTGCTGTTGGAGAAGCCCTTAGAAGAGGAAGAGGAGGAGGACCTGCCCCCATCCACAGACTCCTCATCATCAAAGTTCTTATCTATAGGGGACACAAGCAACACTGATCAATTACTCTAATATTTTCTCTGTACTGTCATGGTTGTCTGAATAACTAGTTTGACTTAAGGAATCACTGTCTCCCTGATCAGACGTTTCTTAGGCCATGTTCAGATGGTATCACAAATGTATCAGATGGTAACACAATTGTCAAGCTGATTTATCTTATCCGGAAGAGCAAACAAGGAACACCACAGGAAACACTCTCATCCTGAGAGCACATGGAAAGGCTCACATTTACTTTTCCCAATATCTCGCTGGGCTAACATTTCCATAATATCCATCACCAATTACCACTAATTTGTCACATCGATGATCATAACCTCATGCCAACCTGCATGTTTTGATTATAATAATTCCCCATTTCATACCAAAAATGTGGAATGAAGACCAAGGCTTTTCTTCATACTACAAATCTAAACCAAAGACTCTTTTGGTGTTTAAACATTGCAGCAACCATTCTGTAGTGATGTCTAAAGCAAGCTATTATTGTGAAATTCATAGATTAATCTACTGTAAGGGACTCTGGAAGTCAAAAATGAGCGGACAATCACACATTCCAGCAGTCTGAGAGGAAGGGGGTGGCACACCAATCTTTCTGAACAGGAAGGAGCTACAGGATGAATCTATTCTGCTGCCTGATTCTTGCAGAGTACTAGTGCTGTCCTACACATTTTTTTATATAACAAGCTTATACACAATTTATTTTAATATTTTTTGCCATTTCATGCCCTTATACTGGATAGGACAGTATAGAGACCAGACAGGAAAGCACAGGGTGGAGAGAGGGAAAAGGGATCGGCAAAGGACCTAAAGTCAGGAATGGAACTCGGGTCACCAGAGGCGTGGCGCACCATATGTTGACACCCATAAGGTTATCAACTCCGTCAGCTTATACACATAATTAACAAGTCATTTATTCACACTGAACTTGAAAAAAAAAAAAATCTAAATGAAATAAATATATATATGCAGCACATATATTATGCAATTCTGCCCTGTTTTGAAAGAAAAATAAAATGTACATTTCATGACATTTCTAGTGTTCACTTACTTGACAAGCAATATGTGATTGGGAGTTCATGTGTACAATGATTAAATCAAATAATCACAATGAGGCAATTACATAATAATCCTGACAAGCCTACAGAGCACACCACAAACCAACCAGTCAAAGCAAATCAATGCAGTCAGAGCAAGGGAAGAAATATTTCAACTGATATTTTTGTTCCAAGCAGACTCTAGTCTCTAGACTTTAATAAACACACACACACACACACAACAGAAAGACAAAATATGCAAAACATCACCTACAGTACTATCAAATGTGTTGCATTGTGACTCTCTTAATGGAGAGAAAAAAGGGAAAAAAAAGATAAATCTGGATTATTTTTGTCAAAAAGCCATTTATAGTAATGCACTTATAATGGAAGCTGATAACAGCCAATGGGCCATGTTTTAAAAGCAAAAATGTGCAGCTTATATTTTTGTTAAAGCACTTATATATGTTGAAGGTAAGTAACAATTCAAAATCATTGTCTGTAGTTATCAACAGCACAATATGCAAAAAATATTTTGCAGCCCAGAATATTCCTTTAAGGAGATGTATTCAAAAGAAGAGACATCACACAGTCCTGAGCATTAACTGAGATAAATGCATTACATAGAAGATGTTCCCATATTAGACCATTTAAGGCTATGGCAAGCAATTTCAGAAATATATGCAAGATGCCAGCTCAGGTCCCACTCAAACTCCTAAAGAATGCCAAACTCAGAAAACCTGCACTGTCTACAATATCCTCATATGTAGGGCTGTCCTCGACTAAGGATTTTTCTGGTTGACTAGTAGTCGTTCATTTTAAGCATTAGTTGAATAATCGCACGTTTATTAGTAAACCCAATGTAGGTGAAGGAATGCATACGCAGTCCGTTCTAGTTAAACCCACTGGTATGTCTGCTGAGAGGTATGCTGACTGCTGAAAAATACAGCCCAATATCATTGGTGGGTGGTAGGGACAACAGAACATATGTATGTGTGTAAAACATCCGTAGACAGCAGCAATATGCCCACAAAAGACATCTTTCATAAGACAGCATGTGGGCAGATAGCTATTGAGAGTCAAAAAATGGCACAAAGGCATCATTCACAATCCTCTGATATCAAACTATCAGTTTTAGCTGGAGTTCAAGCAGCAAGTTCAATGTTTCATTTCAGTTAGTGATAACAATTTTCTTTGATTTGAGATTCAAAAGAAGCAGGCCGCCACTGGCTCAACAACATGCTCTGTAACTCGCTTAATTGGCCTAGAAAATCAAATGGTTCATCATAAAACTGCTGTGCAAATCAATCTAACAGCGAGCTCTTATTCAATTGAATAGGAACGTCTCCCTTGGAGCAGAAATGGCTAATCTGAATTGGATATTTTTTTTCTGTTTCATACCGCCTGATGATTGTGAAAAGCACTTGAAGATCAAAGTGGCAACCTGTCAAAAGAAATATGAAAGGCCTGGCAATACCTTACCAGCATTGGTTCTAACAGCACTGCCCTAACACAACACAAACTTGCTGAAGTTTAAAATTGGCATGAAATGGAAATTCGCCTTACTTTCTTCACCCAAAGATCTTATTGATCTTACTGTGAAAGATTCATCCATGCATGTGTTGCAAAAAAAAAAAAAGAGAGAGAGCTTGTAATATTTAATTAAAATGTCATAACTTAAACTTCCAGACTTCTCTCTGATGACGTATGCAATCATTTAGTCTGCTTGGCATTCTACTAAACTTCTAGGATAAATTAAAGTATGTCCTACAGGTTTTATAATAATATGAGGGTTAGCAAACAACAGAATTTACATTTTTTGGTGGACTATAACTATCCATAGTCACCATTTACTATAACAGCACTATTTGTAGGTAACACCATACGTCTGTACAATGTACATAGTTCTCGATTCTCCAACTGAACCAATACAGCAAATAAGCCTCTTTCAATAATAGTTCTTCACAGAGCTAAAACTGACCACAAAGTATGGATTTATTCAGCAGGGAAGTGTGGAGATGGTGTGCTATTTATTTACTCCTGGTGCTCTCAGAAGTGAGTAATGTCCTTTCAAGAGGACAAACCTCTGGAACGGGCCTTAATCTCCTTGCCACTCAAGTTTTGAGTTTGAGAGGTGTCATTTCAGCCGGAGAAGGGAAGGAGGATATAATCTTTTCTGCATGACCTGCCAACTTTGAACAAAGTGCATCCCCAGCTCCTAACTCAGATTTTTCACATGTGACTGAAGACAAACTATGTTTTAATCCAGAAACAATGTTGTTTGTTTACCACAGGAACATGGGATGCTTACAGACCTGTGAAATCATCCGTCAAAAATCAGTGTTTACCTTCACAGCCACAGTACCTGCCACTGTGTCAAGCGACAACTTTCTTTAGCTGCTGATTGGACTGACACGATGACACAGCATAACATGTCGGAGTGACTTTGAGTATGTCAACACAAAAAAGCTCAGAACTCAAGCGACATGTTTATATAACAGTGCTGTAGGACATAAACACACACACACCCCGATCCATTCATCTCTCAAACTGTACTGTTGGATCCAATATAAAGTGTATAATGTATATAAAAAAGATAAACTGGTAGTCTCAATCCCTCATTCACCTCTACCTTTCTGATCACTTCCTGCAGTGTGTCCTGATATAAAAACAGAGTGTCCTAGACAGCACTACTACACTAAGGCATGTGACTCATAACCTGTTCTCACAGGTGCCAGCCGCATTATATTGACATTGCAAAGGTGACAACAAACGGTTAGAGCAGTGCACTTTGCTAAAGGTGAAGGAAGGATTATGTTTATGTAAAGTAAACATGAAATCAGTTTACTTTTATAGAGATATCTGGTTTTATTCCAAAGACAAAAATAAAAATGTCTTCATTAATGTAATAACTTCCTCTGCAATGGTTTTATTTTCTGGCTAGTGTCACAAAGACAGAGAAAAATAATGTTAAACACAACCAAATTGTTTTTTGAGCATTGTTTAAGGCTAATGTTGTAGGTAAAAATGCAATGCTCATGGTGTGAGATGATTAAAATATATATATATATATATATATATATATATAGTGAGACACGATGCAACATCCATAGACATGCATCTGATGCACAGGCCAATATTAAAAAAGCACAAATAGAATAGCACAAATTAAGTCACTCCTAAAATACTAGAGATGAGCAAAAGAGCAAATTCACATCCATAATGCAGTTATATTTATAGAATGCAATGCAACAAAAACCAATGAGACAAATTAATAAAGTAACACTGCAGAAACACATAAAACTAAACCAATTTAAGTGTGAGATGTCTTCGATAAATGTCACAAATCTAGTTTATACACATCTAAATCCATGACAATCTGAGAGATTAGAGGTTTTATTTTTCCAAAACGACAACATCTATAAATGGATACACTGCATTTCCATGTCAAAATGCTTTGAAATCCAGCTAAAGAGACCATAAAAACGGGCGAAGCAAAAACACGAATATTTAAATCTCAGAAGCGTTACCATCTGTAAACACGAAAACACAGATAAACATGCCGTCCCCATGACAGAACAGCAGATTGGAGGTTTAAGGACTTCAGAACTTCTTTTATTCGTCCCTGACATTAAAGCCGCCATTCCATTCCAATCCTTACCTTCTCCGGTTGTCATAGAGCAAGTGTCTCTTCAAGTCACACAGAGACTACAAATACAACAAAGCTCTAGCTTTTCTTTTTTTTTTTACAGTCTCTCTCTCGGGTCTCCGCCTCTCCCTCCCTTTCCCTTCCTGCTGCTGTGGTCTTGTGACTTCACCAAAGACAAAAGCCACCCAACTCTTTTAAATAAAGGACGTAGAAAGCATTTCCCTGTAAAGAATGAATGTAATGTACAAACAGTGTATCTGGGGCCATTTGCTTGTCCTTTACTTTGCTACCCCT